TGGCTGCTGCTTTCTCCCAGGATCATTTATCAACAAGTCAGAAAAGCAGTGTAGTTCAGTTTAAGAGAGCAAGGGGTGGGGGGAAACCAATTTCGACCTTCTTCCAGCAAGGTGCTTCCTCAAGGTGTCCAGAATTTTTTTCTTCTTTAGCCACCAAGGAGGAGAAGGGCACACGATTCTGCAAATTGCATTGGAGAATCGGGGAGGAAAAAGCCGGAAAATGCGATGCATGGAGGCAATGCTCTTGCAAAGCAGGTGCTTCTGTGTGGAGAGGGTACTTGCCACCCAGTCTGCCTCTTCTCCAGACTACCCAGGCTGAGGGCAGTCGGCTTCTGCTCTTGGCCCGGGAGACAGATCTGGCCAGGAGGGAAGAGAAAGTGAGACTGCAGAAAAGGGGGAGGGTGCATGGCTTTGCAAATTGCTTCAGGGAATTGGGGAGGAAAAAGAGCATTGCCTCCATGCATCGCATTTTCCGGTGTTTTCCTCCCCGATTCCCCGATGCAATTCGCAGAGCTGCGTGCACTCATGAAAATGCAGAGGCAGTTGTTTTCGGCCAGTTCCAAGCAGCACTCTTAACCATTTCCACCACCCATTTCCCACCATGCGGAGACCAAAAATGTGATGCTCATTTTTGGCAATGTGAGGATCCCCACCACCGAAAAATGCGACGCATGGAGGCCGACAACCTCCCAAGGGTGGGGGCCAGCAGGTGGGTGGGGCTACATTCAGACTATAAGACGCACCCAGATTTTCACCCTCTTTTGTGGGGTAAAAAGGTGCATCTTATACTCTGAAAAATACGGTACGTCACAATCATCTATGTGCGACACCTGACGGCACACAACTTATTGAGCTTTTCAACCCCCAATAGGCCAACCATGGATAAATCCAAGAAAAGTTTCAGAAGAAAACAGAACATTTACTTCAACTACATATGCTAGTTTTGTGGCCACTCAAGAAATAGGCACGGGAAGGGTTTTGTGGCTCCCGGTGTTTTCTTTTCTGTGGGAAACGGGTCCAAATGGCTCTTTTGAGTGTTTAAGGTTGCAGATCTCTGGGTTAGATATTACAGAGGAAACTAAATATTGTGAGACTATTTAGGACTAGTTAAGGCAGACCTGGAATTTAAATTTGCTCATGGTCAATTTACATAAGTCTTCAAGTTATGACAATTAGGACCAGAATTTCCATTGCTAAGCAGGGTGGTTAAGTGGTAGGTGCTGGATTTCAAAAACCTTTTTGTGTGTGTGGTTTTATGTTAATCAGTGCAGTTAAATTAATCACCTGGCTTCTCCCATTAACTTTCCTAGTCGGAAGCCAGCTGGGAAGATTGCAGATCACATGATCCCAGGATTGCTGCAACCATAGTAACTACATGCTGGTTGCCAAGCACATGAGTTTTGATCACGTGACTGTGGGGATGCTATGACTGTTGTGTGAGGGACAGTCGTAAGTTATTTTCAGTGTAGTTGTAACTTTGAACAGTCACAAAACAAATTGCTGTAAGTCGAAGAACTAACCTGCTACATTCCATCTCCCTTAATAGCCGCTGAATAGTTATTCAGATTTTTACTGTCCATTTCCAGAAGCTCTAAATTAATAAGAGCTTCATCTGGACTTTCTTAAACCTTGAATACTTACTTGCCTGGTTTCTAGTGACACTTCTGTAGATCCCTTGGGAGGAATGATGGGGTTCAAATGCACTATAAATAATACATCTAGTATTTGGGGTTCCTGCCCCCAGATCAGGTGAAATGCTCCTGGTTCGGACCGGATCGCCTGATCCGGTAGCGATGGAGGCAGGTGGTTTGGAGAACGGGTAGCAAAAATCCCTGCCCTCCCCCCCCCATCCCCAGCTGAGCCGCACAATCATCAGAGGCTTTTTTTTACTTTTAAAAGCATTTTTTCTACAACCTCTTTGGCTGAAAAAATGCTTTTAAAAATTAAAAAAAAAAAAAGCCTCTGACGATGTGCGGCTCAGCTGGGATCGTCAGAAGCTTTTCAAAGCATTTTTTCTACAACCTCTTCAGAGATTGTAGAAAAAATGCTTTTAAAAGCCCCTGATGATCCCAGCTGACTTACCTGATTGGCAGAGGCTTTTTTTCTTTTAAATGCCTCTGACGATCCAAGCTGAGTTGCCTGATCGTCAGAGGCATTTAAAAGACAAAAAGCCTCTGCCAATCAGGTAAGTCAGCTGGGATCATCAGGGGCTTTTAAAAGCATTTTTTACAACCTCTTCACCGAAGAGGTTGTAGAAAAAATGGTTTTAAAAGTAAAAAAAAAAAAAAATGGCCACGCCCACCCAGTCACATTACCCAAAGCCACGCCTACAGAACCAGTAGTAACAAATTTTAGATTTCACCACTGCCCCAGATGAAAGATAAATTAAGAGTCTGAGTGGCGCAGCAGACTAATGCTACTGCTAAAGGTAGTATTTAGCTTCCAGCTGCCTGCAATTACTGCGAGTTCAATTCTCGCCAGGCTCAAGATTGACTCAGCCTTCCATCCTTTCTAAGGTACGTAAAATGAGGACCCGATTTGTGAGGGCAATAAGCTGACTTTGTATAAAATATACAAAAGTATGAAGGCTATTGCTTAACGCCTTGTAAGCCGCCTTGAGTCTCCGGAGAAGGGCGGCATATAAATCAAATTAAAAATAATAATAATAAAAAATCATAACTACGAGTAATTTTGAGATACATTCACCATTCCATGCATGAAGAGAGCAGATGGTTTGATATCATCTGGGCCCAGAATGAAATGGGTCTTGGCTGGTTTTGGCAGAAATGATTGGGTGAGAGAGCAGGACAAAGCCAAGGACATCAATAGTGGAGAACAAGGGAGGGAACATTCCTGAGTTGATGCTCTGTACTCCAGATTTTGTTTAACTCAAAACCCAGAAAGTCCAAAGCATTAAATTAAATTCTCCTGATTGTCTTCTGCTGATTCTCAGTTATTCATGCCTGTTTTTCAAAAGGCCACTGGGCTTTGTTTTTCCATGAAGACACTTCGCTTCTCATCCAAGAAGCTTCTTCAGTTCAGACTGAATGGCGAAGGGTGGATTTATATTCCTTGCAGTAAATCCTTCCATCTTCCACCATTCAATCAGAATTGAAACAGCTTCTTGGATGAGAAGTGAAATGTCTTCAAGGAAAAATAAAGTTGCCTTTTGGGAAAAAACCCAGCATCTTGTGGGACAACAGTGGCTGATCTAAAATAGTTTAGCTAATCCTCCTGAAGTTTCAAAACATTTTATGCATCTGCATAGTAAATATTTGGTCTACTAGAGGAGGGAGGGCTACACAAAAATACAAATTATACTAATTAAAAGATACAAATACAGGTGAAACTCGAAAAATTAGAATATTGTGCAAAAGGTCATTTATTTCGGTAATGCAACTTAAAAGGTGAAACTAATATATGAGACAGACTCATTACATGCAAAGCAAGATAGTTCAAGCCTTGATTTGTCATAATTTTGATGATTATGGCTTACAGCTCATGAAAACCCCAAATTCACAATCTCAGAAAATTAGAGTATTACATGAAATCAATAAAACAAGGATTGTACATAGAACAATATTGGACCTCTGAAAAGTATAAGCATGCATATGTACTCAGTACTTGGTTTGGGCCCCTTTTGCATCAATTACTGCCTCAATGCGGCGTGGCATGGATACTATCAGCCTGTGGCACTGCTGAGGTGTTATGGAAGACCAGGATGCTTCAATAGCGGCCTTCAGCTCTTCTGCATTGTTTGGTCTCATGTCTCTCATCTTTCTCTTGGCAATGCCCCATAGATTCTCTATGGGGTTCAGGTCAGGCGTGTTTGCTGGCCAAACACAGTAATCCCATGGCTATTGAACCAGGTTTTGGTACTTTTGGCAGTGTGGGCAGGTGCCAAGTCCTGCTGGAAAATGAAGTCAGCATCCCCATAAAGCTCGTCTGCGGAAGGAAGCATGAAGTGCTCCAAAATCTCCTGGTAGACGGCTGTGTTGACCCTGGACTTAATGAAGCACAGTGGACCAACACCAGCAGATGACATGGCTCCCCAAATCAACACAGACTGTGGAAACTTCACACTGGACTTCAAGATTCTTGCAGTGTGTGCCTCTCCATTCTTCCTCCAGTCTCTGGGTCCTTAGTTTCCAAATGAGATGCAAAAGTTGCTTTCATCAGAAAAGAGGACTTTGGACCACTGAGCAACAGATCAGTTCTTTTTTTCTTTAGACCAGGTAAGACGCTTCTGACGTTGTTTGTTGTTCAGGAGCGGCTTGACAAGAGGAATATGACATTTGAAGCCCATGTCCAGGATCCGTCTGTGTGTGGTGGCTCTTGATGCACTGACTCCAGCCTCTGTCCACTCCTTGTGAAAGTCCCCAACACTTTTGAATGGCCTTTTCCTGACAATCCTCTCCAGGCTGCAGTCATCCCTGCTGCTTGTGCACCTTTTTCTTCCACACTTTTCCCTTCCACATAACTTTCTATTAATGTGCTTTGATACAGCACTTTGGGAACATCCCACTTCTTTTGCAATTACCTTTTGAGGCTTTCCCTCCTTATGGAGGGTGTCAATGATGGTTTTCTGCACAACTGTCAGATCAGCAGTCTTTCCCATGATTGTGACTCCTACTGAACCAGACTGAGAGACCATTTAAAGGCTAATTAAACGCCTTTGCAGGTGTTATGGCTTAATTAGCTGATTAAAGTGGGATACTTTGAGCCTAGAATATTGAACCTTTTCACAATATTCTAATTTTCTGAGATTGTGAATTTGGGGTTTTCATGAGCTGAATGCCATAATCATCAAAAGTATGACAAATCAAGGCTTCAACTATCTTCGCTTTGCATGTAATGAGTCTATCTCATATATTAGTTTCACCTTTACTAAAATAAAAGAACTTTTGCATGATATTCTAATTTTTTGAGTTTCATCTGTACATGTTCTTATTTTCCTCTATCCAAGTCCGAAGTCATTGACATACATCAAAGAACAGAGCGACATTTATTCTTTTATTTTACAAAAATTTCAAGCAATTGCTGTACTTCTACCAGAATCTGCAGATCGTCCCCCCCCCAAAATAATGACCAACTAGAAACCCTGAGGATTAGCTTTCCTTCACGGCATCTTTTTTGTCAGTCAGGAGCCAACTTCGTTAACAGAAATGTAAATTAAAACACAAAAGTTTTCTAACTGCAAAACAAAGTCGGCGTCAGCTCTTCAGTCTCTCAGGTAGAAAGCATCCATCTCAAAAGAAAACCATCTGTGCTTCAAGATGTCATTCTTATGCCAGTCTTTCTCTGAGTTTTTTTCTCCGTTCACCAAAGCTGCGTAAAATTGAAGCGCACCTTGAGAAGGTACTTCATACGCACCTGGCAGGGATCATAGACCACAAACTCATTATAATTCAGGGTGTAGCCATTAGAGTTTGATATCCCGGTTTCTTTAGCTGGGCCCACGGGAACAATTGCACCATGCCTGGGCAGGAAGGAAAAAGACACAAGATTGTTATGTCGAGTCCCTAAGACCGTGATGGGTGAACCTGTGGCACGCAGAGACCTCTCTGCGGGCACGTCAGCCGTCGCCCCAGCCCAGGTCCACTGCGCATGCGGGCATGACTCCCGCCACCTAGCTGGTCTTCGGATCTCTGCTGCGCATGCACAGAAGGTGGGGTGCATGCATGGGAGGGTGCAGGCGGCTTTCCAGGCCCAAAACGGGGCACGGGGGGGGGCCTTGTGTGGCCTCATACGGCCCCCCGTGCCCCGTTTTGGCATCCAGGTTGGTGCAGGCGGCTTTCCAGGCCCAAAATGGTGTGTGGAGGAAACCCCCCCCCGCGCCCTGTTTTGGCCTTGGAAAGCCTCCTGCACCAACCTGGAAGCCAAAATGGGCTGCGGGGGAGTAGGACGCATATGCGGGGGTTGCATTTCTACTGGGACATCAAGACTGAAAATCAAGTATTTTTATACATTTTTGCAACACAGCCTTTCTTCTTTAAATAAAGGGGCCTTTTGTTCGACCACAATGGCTTAAAAATTCATGAGCTAAGAGTTCTCACAAAGCTACAGAAATCGAGATAAAATGTGAGACATTTAAATCAAGCGGTTAAGGCACCTAGTTTGAAACCAGGAGGTGGTAAGTTCTAGTAGTGCCTTAGGCGTGAAAGCCAGCTGGGTGACTTGGGGCCAGTCATTCTCTTTGAACTCAACCAGTCTCACAGATTTGTTGTGGGGAAAATTGGAGGAGGAAGGAGTTCTAGGCATGCACATTGAGTTATTTATAATAACAAAGGCGGGAAATAAATAAAACATTCTACCTACATTATCATTTTCTTCGAAGTACAAATTTGTATTTTCTCAGGAAGACGGCATGGAAGAAGCTTGTGCATTTCACTTCATCTCTTTTTAAAACCAAATCTCCGCATTGTTTCCATCCCTCTAATTCAGAAGTGGGGAACGATGGTCCCCTTTATTGACTTCAGTACTTCAACTCCCAGAATTCTTTGGCTGGCTCAGGAATCTTGGGAATTGAAGTTCACATGTCTTAAAAGGGGCAAGGTTGAGAAACACTGGGCCAACTCTCTCTTTCATAGCATAAATTGACACCAGTCATAATGTACAGACTAAATGATGTGGGAGTGTCATACCCATCTTCCCAGACTAGTAATTAGTACTTAAATAGAAATTTTTCATCCCCGGCTGCTTTCTTCCCGTTATCCCAAACTCACAAAGAAACACGACCGGATGGGGCAATTTTGCCAAGGCCTTTGGTACTGTGTTTGCTGACTGGTAATTTTTCTGCTTCTGGGTTGGCCTCCAACAGTTCATTGCATTCTCCTAGAGCAACCTGTAAACAAATACAGAATTTAAGTGCTGACTCACATATATCGCAAGGATGCTGCTTCACAGACAAACAGGGAAGGGAAAGTATAGCCGAGGTGCTAGCAAAAGAGAAAACAACAAATCCAGGAAGCCACAGAGTCAGGCTACATCTAGAGGGTTAGATGCAAATCTGTAATTATTATCTCGAACCAAACCCAGAGAATAACAGAGTTGGATGGGACCCTGGGGCAGATTCCAATTTTTAGTGGATAGAATACAATTTTATCCACTAGTATATCTAGCCAACTAATATAATTAAAATATAAGGCTGTATTAATGTTGGATAGCAGCAGAAGAATTGTAATCAAAGTATATCGATCCCCTCTTTTGTTGTTAAGATTTCTGACAATGTGCTTGGTTTAATTTCTATTCCAAAGCTTCATCTCAATTACGAATGTGATTACTGTCAGAAATCTTCAAAATAAAGGGACAATCAGCTTTGTTCCATTGTGATATCAATATCAATTGTGATTTGTTAGTATCACAATTAAACTAGGTATCAAAATATATTTCACCTAGCAATGGGAAGAATGAATGAATGATTTGAAATGCTACAAAGCTGCATATTTCCATGGAAAATTATTTCATTAATCCATGTGTTTTAAGTACAGCATAATCACAGAGTTGGAAGGGACCTTGGAGGTCTTCTAGTCCAACCCCTTGCTCAAACAGGGGACCTTATACTATTTCAGACAAATATATGTCCAATCTCTTAAAAACCTTCAGTGTTGGAGCATTCACAACTTCTGGATGGTCTACTGATTAACTGTTCTCACTATAGATAGTCCTCAAGTTATGTCCAGCCAGAATTCTGAGAGTTGAAGTCCACAAGTCTTAAAAGTTGCCAAGGCTGGAGACCCCTGCTTTGGAGAATAGGTTGACCCTATTCTTTGTGGCAGATATTGGAACATTGCCATCATGCCACCCCTAGTTCTTTGTTTCATTAAACTAGATATACCCAACTCCTGTAAACGTTTTTCGTGTTTTATCCTCCCACCCAAGATGTCATCTCACCTCTGACAGCAGGAGGAAGCCGATATCTTTCTCGCGAGTGGCAAAACAGTAATTGGCACTCTTAGAGGACATGTCCGCAAAGTAAATGCCTTTTCCAAACTGGGGGGAAGAGAAATAATAAGAAGAAAAGACTTGAAACCTGACTGCTTCTTGAGTTGAACGAATCGTGAGTTCAGCCTAAAGTAAGAGACTCACCATGTAGCCTGTGACGGGAGCTTCTGGTGGTGCCACACGTAACCCCTGGCTCAAGATCCCTGCCCAGTTACCCAGCCGAGATCCGTGCCACAGCAGCATCCTGAAGAAGGGAAAACGAGGATAAAAGATGGAATTCAGAATATAGCCCAAAGATAGGTTTCATTTCACCTCATCAGCTCCCTTCTTACCTATTGGGCAGGTCAAAACGGAAGGTGGCTTCTGAGCATTTTTTGTTCACTTCAAAGGCCTCGATCAGGGTCATCGTGTAATTCTTGTGGGTGGGAGCATGGGTGGAGAGCAAGTAGCGCTCCAGTACCTGAAAAAGGACATGAAAGACTTAGAACTTAGGATAAATTCATTCTCGCTTTGAATGTACACTAATCGGCATACATTAAAATGACATTTCGTTGCATACAGCTCTCAAAGGGTTGCCACCTCCAATATACACTTCATAAACATGACAAAATAAATAAGTACAAAATTATGCATATACCAACATATATTATATGACACAGAGAAACAACACAGTCTAGTTCAGATGTATACATGTGCATGGCGAGGGAAACGAATCTTGAGAGTTTACCAGGCGGATGGCATAGGGAACAAAGCTGTTACAGAATCTGGTAGTTCTGCTAGAAATACTTCCAAACCTCCTCCCAGAGGAGAGCAACAGAAATAGACTGTAAAGTGGGTGTGTGTGGGTCTCTAACAATGTTTTGAGCTCTAAGCGTAGTGCTTATAAGCACTATCCTGAATAACACGAATCGGGCTTCCTGTAATCTTCTCAGCTGTCCTTACCACTCCCTTACATACACTCTGTGTATGCTGAGAGAGAGCAAGCTGAGATATAACCATCAGAATGGTTCTTTCTAGAGCAGGGGCGTCAAACTCAAAGCCCGCGGACCAGATCTGGCCCGTGGGGTGCTTAGATCTGGCCCATGGGGCCAGCCTGGAAATATAAAAGGACCAGCCAATGGTGCCTCTGCCAGCCAAAACGGGGCCCAGGGGGGCCATGCACAACACCCTGGGGCCATTTTTGGCCTCCATGCCCTCCTGGAGCACTCTGCCCGCCAAAAATGGGCCACGGTGAGGCCTCGAGTGCCCCCCTCCCCAGGCCATTTTCAGCCAGCAGTGCTGCAGGAGGCCATGGAGGTCAAAAACAGGCCTCAAGGGGCCTCACGCAGCCCTCTTGCAACCCGTTTTCAGCCAGCAATGCTGCAGGAGGCTGTGGAAAAACAGGCCACGGGGGGGGGAGGGGGGTGCACACAACCCACCCGCACCCCATTTTGGCTGGGAGGGTGCTGTAGGAGGCATCCGTCCCATCCTTCCCTCTCCCACCAGCTGGCCCGTGGTGGAGAACAATGCTGATCTGGCCCTCACAGAACACCCCTGTTCTACAGTCTTCTTTGATACATTTGCGCTGTGGTGCTGGAGAAGGCTCCTGCGTATTCCTTGGACAGAAAAGATGACTAACAAGTAAGTACTGGAGTGCATAACACCAGATACGTTACTAGAAGAACAAATCGTGAAACTGCATCTCACTTTGGCAGTATTATATTTGGCGGAATTCACTAGAAAAAGCAATTATATATGGAAGAGTACTAAAAGGAATCCAGGCCATCAAAGAACATGGTGTGGCTGGACATCATCAAAGCTGACACCAGCCAGAGCATAGAAAAACTCAAAAGTAGTATAAGTTCAGAAGATGTGGAGGGACCTAACCCATAGAATTGCCAAGAGTAGGATAACATCATCATCATCATGTTCTTTCTTCCAGCTACACACCTGGAAAACATCGCTGGCCTTTTCCAAGGGTTGGAGTTCACAGTCAAGACTCCTGTAGCTCCGGTCCAAAGGATGTTCCAGATCCAATTGTTCTGATTGCATATGTCTGATACCAATACGGATCTCACCGAGAGCCTTGAGGTGGAAAAGAAAGTCAGCAGAGCGCAGCGATCACACATTCAGATGTGATCACGTTTTATAGGGCAATATTAATCACAGAAGGAGCTAGATATCTGGATGGTTGCCTTCCAGGTGTGGCGGGAGTTAAGAGCCCAAAATACATGGAATTTGTCAGGTTGGGAAAAGCTTAGTTGAAAGTTATGACTGTAATTACAGGGCTCAATTACTGTCATAATTTGAGGACTATTTATTGTCCCATCTGCTTGAAAGAATATAAGCTTTGAAACTATCAAAGCAGAGGTGAGGAACTCTGGCCCTTTTATGACTTGTGGACTCCATGCTGGCTCAGGAATTCTGGGAGTTGAAGTCCACAGGTCATAAAAGGGCCAGAGTTGCCCATCCCTGATGTAGAAGAATTTAAAAGGGATGACCTTGTTATGAAAGAACCATTACAGAGAGACTTAGAGAAGCCATTTTAATTCATAAATTGAAAGAAAAACATGATAAAGAAACTCAAGCCTACCTTGTTTTTAATTATCATAAGGAGGGACAGAAACTTGAAAAGATTTTGAGGATTATTATTATCCCATACTGTAATAAAACAGCACTACTGGTGTCCAGTGGCATCTCTCTCTTGAAGAGCTGACATACGGTATATCACAGAAGTGAGTACACCTCCTCACAATCTTTTCATGTGGCAACATTGAAGAAATGACACTTGGCTACAGTGTAAAGGAGCCTTGGTAGTACAGTGGTTTAATGCACCCTGTAATTAACACAGCTGCCTGCAATTTCTGCAGGTTCGAATCTTACCAGGCTCAAGGTTGACTCAGCCTTCCATCCTTTCTAAGGTAGGTTAAATGAGGACCCAGTTTGTGGGGGCAATAAGCTGACTTTGTATAAATATACAAAAGTATGAAGGCTATTGCTTAACGCATTGTAAGCCACCCTGAGTCTCCGGAGAAGGGCGGCATATAAATCAAATAAAAATAAAATAAATAAATAAATAAATAAAGTAGTGAGTCTACAGCTTATATAACAGGGGACATTATCACTTCGGGGTGTACTCACTTTTGTTGCAATCAATTTAGACATTAAAGGCTATGTGTTGCACTATTTTGAGGGGTCAGCACATTTACACGGTTATACAAGCTGTAGACTCACTATTTTACACTGTAGCCAAGTGTCATTTCTACAATGTTGTCACATGAAAATATATACTTAAATATTTACAAAATGTGAGGGGATATTCTCACTTCTGTGATATACTGTATGCGCTTCACCTCATTTTTCAGTTCAGCACAGAAACTGAAGAACTATTTATCCCCTTGTTCTTTATAGTCAAAATGTCCATATACCAACTCTCTCTCCTTGAGCAATTAAATGTGACTTTCCTTACCTCCAGCAGCTGTGCCTTGTCTTGGAGTTCCTTTAATGTCTTTATAAGTGGTGGTGTTTTCAGCCTGAAAAGGAGAGGGAGAATGAGAGCAAACACTTTTTTTGGGGATGGGATTTGCATTAAAAAGTTGAATTGCCCATCACTGAAGATTCTCCTCAGAGAGGTGTCTGCCCTTCAGAAATTGGGGAAGGTAGCAACCACAAAGAGGACCTTCTCGGGAGCACCAGTTACAAAAAATTCTTCTTAGATTAGGGAGGCACATGGTTTGGTTTCCAACCTCTGATTGGACCATCAAAATCTAGGGGCAAGATGTAAAGGACTGTGGGAATAACCTTGGGAGACAGAAGGAAGAGCTGGAGCCAGGACAACCGTCAGATGAGAGATATCTCAGGCATCAAAGGCAAAGGGGTGGAGAAAGCATTGCAAAAGGGACCCTACCTAGTTTCTCTGGAACATACAGGGAAGGGTGGGGAGCAGAGGTGGTATTCAACCGGTTTGTACCAGTTCATATGAATCGGTAGTGGAAATCGCAGGTGGGCCCGCTCATCCACCCCATCCTATTTAGGCATGCTTTCAAGACCGGGCGCATGTACGGAAGGCACGCGAGCGAGCAAAATGCATGCACGGAAAGCACATGAAGTGAATACACGTGTGCGGGGTGAACGGTGGTAAGAATTTTGGAAATCCACTGCTGGTGGGGAGAAATGTTTTCAGGTTTGCAAAATCTGTTAGTGTAATCTTAAAGTAAAGGCACTGTTACTCCTTATGGTTTTAGTTTCATGTCTGGGCCACCTCAAAGGGCTGACACATTTGTGTGTGTGCCTGTGAGTGAGGAAGCTGTGGTCTGAACCAGCAGTTTCAGAAACCGAAACTTATAGTTTCTTTCTTTTCTTCAATTCCCCTCTAGTTGTTTACACTTGTTATGCCTGGTAAAAATTTGCGAATTGTTATTGAATCTACGGCTCTCGAATCTGAATTGAATCAAATCTTTGGCAAATCAAAACTTCTCTGCAATTAGTTAAGCAACCAGGGAGAGGATTCAAAAAGATCTCTATTAGTCCAGATTAGACTAGCAGACAGATCGTCTCTGGATACCCTATGCATGAGCACACAACTGTTTAAACAAACGATCATTCCCATAAAACTTAAACACCAGGGCTATTTACCAGTTGCATTGTTCTAAGGGGCCCTGAAAGCTAATTTGAAGCACAAACTGAACTCTCCAAAATTGTAGTCAAATTGTGGTGTTCAATTAACAATTCATTATCTCTGCAAAATTACAGATAGATCGGAACTGCACAGGTTTGGGGTGGGAAAAATACATAGTCCTGTTCTCATTGATCAGAAAACTGGCTGAGAGATTTAAATAATGTAGAGAATAATAACACACAATAGCTATTCAGGAAGTCCTCCACTTATAACGGTTGCTTAGTAACTGTTTGTAGTCACAAATGGCCTATTGCAAATAATTGGTTCACCACAGAGTTCACTTCACAACCGCTGCAAAAAAAAGGTTACAAACCTTTTGTAACCTTACAAAAAAGGTTACAAAATCTGATCAGTCATACGGGTGACCTGTTTATGACTATGACTTACAACCTTAATGGGCCAACTCCATTACAGTCATAAGTTGAGGATGATCTGTATGAGAATAGTGCCAAAGGAGACTGGGTTTTTTTTCTTCTTCTCCCGGACAACTTACAACTTCAAGAAGGGGAATCGGTGCTACTAACCCAAAATCATGGGGGATCCGTGTGTAGAATTCATTGCAAGCTTCCAGCAGGACAGAACCAGTCTGACTCCGCTTCAGACAAGCTTCCACTTTCTGTAATGACCGGTACCCTGCCTTGATCTGTTCAGCTGTCAGCTTTCCTTGAGCAGAGGTTAAAAAAAAAAATCAGTTGGATTCAAGGTAGGCAGGCAGTTATTTATTTATTGAGTGTATGGAATCTAAAGAGGCCACGTAATTACTGATATACAAATTTACTTTAAATAAAGCATCAGCAAATATACATTATATAAGATAGGTGGACAATATAGGACTGTGATGGCGAACCTTTTTGGCATTGTGTGCCAAAAGTCCGAGCGCATGAACCCTCGTGCGCTCTCGCGTGCCAGCACCCATAATGCAATGGGCGCCCCATTTGCACATGCGCACATGAACCCCCATGCTCCTAATGCGCATGCACCTCACTGCACATGCGCACATGCAACCCCCACTGCGCATATGTGTGCGTCTGCCACGCATGCGCCCTCCCTTTTTCCAAGAGGGCCGGCGTGCCTCTTACCGGAGGCCAACCGGGTACCCTTGCGAGACAGCTGTTCCCAAGCCGGCGGCAGTGCTCTCTGTCCTGCCTGCCAACTCGCCAGCGCCCCATTCACCCATCCCAGCAGAGGCCTTTTGCCCATGCTGCTCCCCCAGTCAGAAGGGGGTGCAGGGAAACACGTGAGAAGGCCGCGGTTGCTGCCAACCGGGCCCGCCCGTCTTCTCCAGTTGGCGGGTGGCTGAGGCTTGCAATGAATGGCACAAGCAGGACTCCAGCTCCGACCCCGTGCTGTAAATGTGCCTTGCGGGAGCAGAGGCTCGGGAGAGTCGAACCCTCCTGCCTGCCTTACTACGGGCCTTTCCAAGGCAGGACTGGGCTCTCCAACCTTGGCAACTTTGAGAACTCTGGGAGTTCTCAAAGTCCACAAATCTTAAGGTTGCCAAGGTTGGAGAGCCCTGTTCCAAAGGGCGCCTGAAACCTGCGAATGAAGGAGCTGGAGTTGTGGCTGTGCTGGCCGTCCCCCCCCCATTCGGTTCCCTTTCCCCCAGCCGACCCCTCCCGCCATCGGGCTCGGCGCCTGCAATGGCCCAGGTGGGAATCTTCCGCATTGTCGGCGGATCCCAGGTTTCCTCCTCGCTGTGCTCCGAGGGACCCAGCAAGGTAGTGCCAGGACCCCGGCCGCGCTGCACTCTCCCCCGAGGCGGAGTCTGCGGAGAAGGAGGAGAAGGGTGCTCGGCTCTGGAATGTGCAGTTCCAGGGAGGAAAACATTTTCGGGCGGCAGCGGGGAGGAGCCCAAGCAAGGGTTTGGGGTCGCAGCAGAACAAGCAGCCAAAGCCCATCTCCACCAGTGCACCTGCCTCTCCTTCTTCTTCTTGCCGGCCCCGAGCGCCCAAGGGAAGCACCGGGTGGCTATTTTGAAAGGGATAGGAGCAGTTTATACAAGCCACGGGATAAGTGCACTGCGGGTCCCAGCCCGCGCTGCCGCCTGAAAATTCTGTATCAGATGAATTGTTTAGTTTATTAGCTTCTCCAGATTTTTTCATTCAATCTCCGGCTGCTGAAACCTCCCCAAAGGTCCCTCCGAGCAGTCCTCGCAAACTCCCACAGGCCAGGAGCTGCTGTTGCTCGGGGCCCGAGCCTCCCAACCAGCAGGCACAGCCGGGAACCGGAGCTCCACTTTCCCCAAAAGGCTGGCAAGCTTTGAATCCAGCCTCGGGGCCGCCGCTTCACACTGGGTTGCCTCTCCCCGCGTGTTGCTGTGGGTTTCCCCACGGAGAGGACTGACTCCCTCAGTCGGAGGCAAAGAGCACAGCACTGGTTCGCGGCTGCTCCTCCCGGGGCAGCTCAGCTTAGCACCGTTCCTAAAGACAGTAGCGGGTCCTCCAAGCAGAGAGCAGGTGCCAGGCCAGCTGGAGACGCCGCCCCTTCGCTCTCTGCTAGCCAGGCCAGGCAGCGGTCCAGCCGGGGCTGCCTCGGGGGAGAGCACAGCGCGGCCAGGGTCCTGGCACCCTGTTGCTGGGTCCCTCAGAGCGCAGCAAGGAGGAAACCCGGGATCCGCCGGCAGCGCGGACAATTCCCACCTGTGGCGATTGCAGATGCCGAGCCCAATGGCAAGAGGAGGAGGCTGGGGGGGAAGGGAGCCGAATTTCGGGGGCGGGGTGACGGCTGGCACAGCCACAACTGCAGCTCCTTCAATTGCGGGTTGCAGGCGCCCTTTGGAACAGGGCTCTCCAACCTTGGCAACCTTAAGATTTGTGGACTTTGAGAACTCCCAGAGTTTTCAAAGTTGCCAAGGTTGGAGAGCCCAGTCCTGCCTTGGAAAGGCCCGTAGTAAGGCAGGCAGGAGGGTTCGACTCTCCCGAGCCTCTGCTCCCGCAAGGCACATTTACAGCACGGGGGCGGAGCTGCAGTCCTGCTTGCGCCATTCATTGAAAGCCTCAGCTGCCCGCCAACCGGAGAAAGCGAGCGGGCCTGGCTGGCAGCAACCGCGGACTCCTCGCGTGTTTCCCCGCACCCCCTTCTGACTGGGGGAGCAGCATGGGCAAAAGACTGCTGGTCCACTGGTGGTCTGGACCGCCTGGGACCGCGAAAGTAGTTGCGTGGGCAGGGAGGGAGGGAATCCCTGGCTTATCTTGCTCTGCTCCCGTAGGAAGTGACCGCCGGGATTCCCTCTTTGCGTCTTTTGGCACGTGCGCCAATTGCTGGTCTTTGTGTGCGCATGTGCGCCAGAAACCAGACTAGCTGGCCGGTGCGCATGCGCACTCTGGAAACAGGAAGATCGTTTTCCTGGAGTGTGCATGTGCAATTGGCGGCTGCTCTTCCAATTTCCGGCACGCCCGTGCACATGAAAACCAGATGACTGGCGTACCAGAACCCGGAAGAACAATGGGCAATGGCTTCGCGTGCCTGGAGAAATGGTTCTGCGTGCCACTTCCAGCACGCGTGCCATTGGTTCGCCAACACGGATATAGGAGATACCCTGTTTCCGCCAAAATAAGACATCCCGATAATAAGCCCAATCGGGCTTTTGAGCGCATGGCAATAAGGCCAAGCGCTTATTTCAGGGTTCAAATAAATATTAGACAGGGTCTTATTTTTGGGGAAACATAGTAATATATTAATATAAAACCATAATCAAATCAACTTAAGTATAGGGAACCACAGAATTGCAATGGGATAGCTCAGGGTTCACCCACCCTCCACCCCAGACCTTTGACCAGCACCGGTCCGTGGCATGCCACAGAAGCTGGGTTGTGCAAACAAGCGAAGCTCCATCTGCAGGATGCAGGCAGTATGCAAAACTGCACCGCCTCTGGTTCGTGGAAAAGCCTTTCTCCATGGAACATAGTCCCCAGTGCCCAAAAGATTGGGGACTGTCATGTCCCAGCATATACAGTATATCAAAGAAGTGAGTATACCCTCACATTTTGTAAATATTTAAGTGTATATTTTCATGTGACAATACTGAAGAAAGGACACTTGGCTACAGTGTAAAGTACTGAGTCTACAGTTTGTATAACCGTGTAAATGTGCTGACCCCTCAAAATAACGCAACACACAGCCATTAATGTCTAAACTGGTGGCAACAAAAGCCAGTACACCCCTAAGTGATAATGTCCAAATGGGACCCAAAGTGTCAATATTTTGTGTGGCCACCATTATTTTCCAGCACTGCCTTAATCCACTTGGGCATAGAGTTCACCAGAGCTTCACAGGTTGCCACTGGAGTCCTCTTCCACTTCTCCATGACGACGTCACAGAGCTGGTGGATGTTAGAGACCTTGTGCACCTCCACCTTCCGTTTCAGGATGCCCCACAGATGCTCAATAGGTCTGAGACATGCTTGGCCAGTCCATCACCTTTACCCTCAGCTTCTTTAGCAAGGCAGTGGTCGTTTTGGAGGTATTTGGGGTCCTTATCATGTTGGAATACTGCCCTGCAGCCCAGTCTCCAAAGGGAGGGGATCATGCTCTGCTTCAGTATGTCACAGTACATGTTGGCGTTCATGGTATCCTCAATGAACTGTAGCCTTCCCAGTGCTGGCAGCACTCATGCAGCCCCAGACCATGACATTCTCACCACCATGCTTGACTGTAGGCAAGCACACTTGTCTTTGTACTCCTCACCTAGTTGCCACCACACATGCTTGACACCATCTGAACCAAATAAATTTATCTTGGTTTCATCAGACCACAGGACATGGTTCCAGAAATCCATGTCCTAAGTCTGCTTATCTGCAGCAAACTGTTTGCGGACTTCCTTGTGCATCATCTTTAAAAGAGGCTTCCTTCTGGGACGACAGCCCTGCAGACCAATTTGATGCAGTGTGCGGCGTATGGTCTGAGCACTGACAGGTTGACCCCCCCACCCCTTCAACCTCTCCAGCAGTGCTGACAGCACTCATATGTCTATTTCCCAAAGCCAACCTCTGGATATGATGCTGAGCACAGGCACTCAACATTTTTGGTCGACCATGGCGAGGCCTGTTCTGAGTGGAACCTGTCCTGTTAAACCGCTGTATGGTTTGGCCACCATGCTGAAGCTCAGTTTCAGGGTCTTGGCAATCTTCTTATAGACTAAGCCCTAGGCCATCTTTATATAGAGCAACAATTCTTTCTTTCAGATCCTCAGAGAGTTCATTGCCATGAGGTGCCACGTTGAACTTCCAGTGACTAGTATGAGAGTGTGAAAGCGATAACACCAAAATTTAACATACCTGCTCCCCTTTCACAACTGAGCCTTGTACCATTAACGAGTCATGTGACACCAGAGAGGGAAAATGGCTACTTGGGCCCAGTGGTGGAATGCTGCTGGTTTAACAACCGGTTCGGTGAGCACATGCTTTGTGCGCCTAAGGTGCTTAAGCGCAGCGCCAAAAATGGAGCATTTAGAAGTTTAGCAGCTTACCTTCCAAATTAGCAACAGTAAGTAGAACAGCGAGCGAGGGAGAAATCAGCTGTGCCGCGCGACTGGGATGAGCTACAAAGCAGGAAATAAAGGATACAGTAGACCGGGGGCAGGTGGGTGGGGCCAACTGATCGTTGGCGCTACTGGTTTGCCCGAACCGATCCAAGCCAACTGAATACCACCTCTGCTTGGGTCCAGAGGTGGTATTCAGCAGGTTCTGACCAGTTCTGGAGAACCAGTAGCGGAAATTTTGAGTAGTTCGGAGAACCGGTAAATACCACCTCTGACTGGCCCCGCCCCCATTATTCTCTGCCTCCTGAGTCCCAGCTGACCGGGAGGAAAAGGGGATTTTGCAGTATCCTTCCCTGGAATGGGGAGGGAATGGAGATTTTACAGTATCCTTCCCCTGCCATGCCCACCAAGCCACGCCCACCAAGCCAAGCCAAGCCATGCCCACCAAGCCACACCCACCAAGCCAAGCCATGCCCACCAAGCCACGCCCACAGAACCGGTATTAAAAAAAATTGAATCCCACCACTGCTTGGGCCCCATTTGGACATTATCACTTAGGGGTGTACTCACTTTTGTTGCCACCAGTTTAGACATTAATGGCTGTGTGCTGCGCTATTTTGAGGGGACAGCACATTTACACTGTTATACAAGTTGTAGACTCACTACTTTACATTGTAGCCAAGTGTCATTTCTTCAGTGTTGTCACATGAAAATATATATTTAAATATTTACAAAATGTGAGGGCGTGTATTCACTTCTTCGATATATTGTAACTTTTATATACTGTTGTTGCTCCCTATCCCCATCTATATATTTATCCCCGGAGGGACAAATATGCCCTAACATACGATCTTTATATACTGGTATTGCTCTCTAGCCCCATTTGGCCGGAGAGACAAATATCAAGTATATTCTTTGAAGCTGACCCCACCCTATTACCCATCAGTCTGCACTCTCAAAACAAGTGCATGCTGGGAAGCCAAACTCCATTTCCTTTAGCGTTTGGAGAAGGCAGAAGCGCAAAGAAGAATCCATCTTAAATCTGTGGCACATGATTATCCAAGGACAAACTCAGATTCTACACACAGAGCATCGCTGTTTCACCATATACTGTTCTTTCAATAAAGTATTCAGATCAGGGGTGAAATGCTGCCGGTTCAGACTGGATTGCCTGATCCGGTTGCGATGGAGGCGGGTGGTTCGGAAAACCGGTAGCAAAAATCCTTGCCCCCCACCCCACCGAGCCGCACAATCATCAGGTTTTTTTTTTTAATTTTTAAAAGCATTTTTTCTACAACCTCTTCGGCAGAAAAAATGCTTTAAAAAAAAAAACCCTCTGATGATCACTCGGCTCAGCTGGGATCATCAAATGCTTTTAAAAGCCTCTGATGATCCCAGCTGAGTTGCCTGATCGCAGAGGTTTTTAAAAGAAAAAAAGCCTCTGCTGATCAGGCAACTCAGCTGGGATCGTCAGAGTCTTTTGAAAGCATTTTTTACAACCTCTTAGCCGAAGAGATTGTAGAAAAAATGGTTTTAAAAGGTTAAAAAAAAAAAAATTGGCCACGCCCACTGTCACATTACCCCCCCACCAAGCCACGCCCACAGAACCAGTAGTAACAAATTTTAGATTTCACCACTGACTCAGATCTATGCACACGGTCTGTTTTACTGGAGGATAGGTGGGTTTAGCTGCACACAGACTAACGTGTAGTGGGGACAGAACAGGGGCTGTTGAGATAGATGTTATAATTCGATATGGAAGGAAGCTGACCATCTAACTGCTTCTGGTGGGACTCTGGTGAGATCATCCCAGGTGCCTTGAAATTTCCCGAAATTTCCCGAAGTATACGTACTGTTTCCCCAAAAATAAGACCTATCCCGAAAATAAACCTTAGCTTGATTTTTACGTATGCACCTAATATAAACCAAGTGAGTTTTGTCCCATTTTCCAACCTTTTTTGCCACTCTTGTTAAGTGAATCACTGCAACTGTTACGTTAATAACCCAGGTTGTTAAGTGAATCCCGCAGTTGTTAAGCGATTCTGGCTTCCCCCACTAATTTGGTTTGTTGGAAGCCAGCTGGGAAGGTTACAAATGGTGAACACATAATCCCAGGACACTGCCAGGACACTGTCCCAGGCAGTATCCCAGGACACTGTCCCACAGTATCCCAGGATACTGTCATAAATACATACCAGTTGCCAAGCGCCCAAATTTTGATCACCTGACCATGGGGATGCTGCAACGGTCATGTGAAAAACTGTCGCAAGTCCCTTTTTTCTGTGCCATTGTAACTTTGAACAATCGCTAAACCGAATGGTTGTGTTGTGGCCCGCCGACTGCCAGCAAAGCTAGTAGCAGAGTCAGATGAGGAGGAAGTGGATGGAGAGCCTGGGCCCGCTTCGGAGTCTTTGGAGTCTGATAACAAAATAGCATCAGAGACAGAAGAGGAGCCGGGGCCTTCCGTCCTCCCACAGATGGAGAGGCAGCTGTCTTTGGGGTCTGAGCTAAGTGAGGGGGAAGAACAGATGGGGCCCATCCCAGATACATATTTGCATAGGGAGTAGAGGAGAGGCGAGCAAAGGAAAACAATAAGCCGGATCTCAAAGAAAAGCAGATATGGATGCTAGCCAGCCTCTCCCAGGCTGGGAGTAGGGTTATACTAGTAGGGATTTGGGTGTGGCCTGTTGTCGCAGACAATCATTTGTTTCTAGTCTACAGCAAGCAATTCGGATTTCTTGGTTAAACCCAGGTTTGTTGGGACTAATTACATTTGATTTTTTTTTTTGTTTATCCATGTGAATAAAAGACTCTTACTGCCCCATTATAAAAAAAGGGATTTGTTTAACTCGTGAGTAAACAGCTTATCACTACTTGTGAAGGCTGGGTCAGAACAGGTTGTAAGTCAGGAACTACCTGTGTTTATTTTCAATAAGATTTCTTAAGCAAAGGAACCTTTCTCATTTCTTCTAAAAGATGATTGTGCGCTTTCTCTACTTAAAAAAAAGGGGGTTTTGGCCAAGTTGACCTCTTAAATAAATTAAAACTAAGGGTAAGAGGGACAAACCATGATTGCGTACCTAATGGAGCTTTTCGGGTGTCGTACTTCATCTCGATCACCATTTCCTCCATCGTGCGAATATTACATATCAGTTCTACCAAAGCCTGCAACCTTAGGTCCAGCTGGGAAACCGGCGGGGGTTTGGAGACTGTGTTCTCGGGGGCAGCTCCTGAATTCTTCTGGCAGGAATACAAAATGAGGATTTATGAGCAAAATATCCTTCTGTTTTCTAAAGCTGCCTCCCTCTGCTCTTTCCCGCCAAAAAGCCTTACAGCATCTTTGGCTTCAAAGTCCAGATGAAGAAGATCATATTTGCCTGCGACCTTCTGGAAGTTAGCCCGTTTGTCCCATTCATTTTTGGTTTTGTCTAGGAACCTCAGAGGCAAAAACAAAACAAAAAAGTTCAGGAGAAAGGAGGTGCTGAGTGGGATAAGCTCATTGCCAAAACTTTTAGAGGGACTCACTTTTTGGCGAACACTTCTTTGGCTTTTGCTAAATCTCCAGAGCAAGGAACGAGGGAGTTCTGGCCAGACTTACCCACTAGAAAGTAAAAATATATATATATGAATGAATAAATAGCAATAGCATTTAGATTTATATATCACTTCACAGTGCTTTACAGCCCTCTAAACAGTGTACTAATATCTCCTTTGATTGCATCTGAAGGTTAACACAGTCAGAATTTCATCTGAAATAGTTTTTATATAAAGCGCTGCTGGCTGGGGGATTCTGGGAGTTGAAGTCCACCCATCTTCAAGCTTCCAAGGTTGAGAAACACTGCTCTAAGCGGTTTACAGAGTCAGCATATTGTCCCCCAACAATCTGGCTTCTCATTTTACCCCCTTGGTTGGATGGAAGGCTGAGTCAACCTTGAGCCTGTCAAGATCGAACTTCCTGGCAGTGGGCAGAGTTAGCCTGCAATACTGCATTCTAACAACTGCACCACTACGGAATGAAGGAAGAAAGGAAGGAAGGAATGGAATGGAATGATCAAAAGGACACTGAGGAGTACAGAAGAGGTGAAGCCACATTCTATAACTCAGAAAAAAATGCAAGAACTCCAGAAGAATCCAAAAACTTGATGTATCATTATTCACTAACATTTCAATTGTTTTTTTTTAAAGGTATTTATGATAACGTAACACTTAGCACTTAAGACTTATACATCGATTCATAGAGCTTTACAGCCATGTCTAAGCAGTTTACAGAGTCAGCATATTACCCCCAACAATCCGGACCCTCATTTTGGCAACCTCAGAAGGACGGAATGCTGAGTCAACCTTGAACTGGTCAGAATCGAACTCATGACAGTGGGCAGTGTCAGCCTGCAATACTGCATTCTAACCACTTACAGCATTTT